CTTAAAATTAAGCTTTAAAATGAAATATTTTCATGCAACAATTTTCATTTTATTCTCTATATAAGATTCAAGGTGTTTAGAAGTCTTAGAAAAGGTATTATAAAAGTTGACATTTGTACGCTATATGAAAGGGAAAAACAAATAATACAGCTCCAGCGAAATAAGATTTTCTTGAATCCAGCCTAAGATGCTATGATAAATGCTTATTTTCTTGATATGAAATAAGAAGTGATTTATGGTGTCTTGAAATCATGGCAAAAGCCTTGTACACTATGTATTATAGAATACATGACGGAAATGAAAGACAAAAACTACCAAATAAGTGTAAAATCATGACAGTTTCTTGGAGTGCCTAGACACCTTTCGTTTTTCAACCTAAAATTTATTTGTTAATCAATTTGCAATAAGAAAATGCATTGCTGGTATTCCAATTCGCCTTTTCTGCAAAAATATTGGAGAATTTACAATTTTCCTTATATAATATCATTAGCGTTAATCTTTAACTTTAAAAAAAACTGTGGATAAATTTACATAACTTTGTAGATTCAGAGATACTTTTATGAGTATTTTTGATTACTAAACTGCTAATATTACAAACCTTAGGATCGGATTACCTTTAAAAAAACCCCTCAGTTTTTGGAGTCTTTTGTTTCGTTTAAAGGTATGTAATATGCTGACTTTTTTCTATTTTTTTACGTGATGGTTTATAAATTACTTTCGAGTTTCTTGACTTGGCGTATTCCTACGAAAGAAAAATTGGATAAAAACGTGTTGTGATCATAAACAGCATGATGAATTCCGAGATCTTGGAGAATTTGTTATAATAATTATTTTAAACAATTCGACATAGACCATTTTCACTTAATACTTTGACTAATCTTTTGACCTAAAACTGCGAGTTTTTTGCAATCGACTTATTTTTGATCTTCATCCTGCATGCATATAAAGTACCGCAGTAAGTTAAAACATTACTATAGGGTGGATAATTGGTAATTTAGGGCTTTCCATGGCTAAAATACACAAATGTATATACAGCTTATTTGATCATCATTTTGTTATCAAAAATTATTTTTTTTTATTTTTTCAGATATAGTTTATGCTCAATGTGAAATCCAGGAAGAAAATGAAGAATGTAAGTATTTTTTCCTTCCTTTTTCCAGTTTTGAAAAATATCTTTTAATTAATTAGAAATTCAAATAAAAATTACATGTACATAAGTGATGAAAAATTCATAATTCTAAATGTCCATCGCCATTTAAATTTTTGATTTGTTTATTTTTTTCTAATGGCTATTTTTAATTTGAAGTATATTTTAACCTTTATTCTTTTAGCAAAATATACATGAGAGACGATTATAATATAATAACAATGCTGTTGATCTATTGTGTTGATCTAATTTTCAGTCTGATTGATCCTTTCTTCCCATGTCTTTGTGTGATACTTGATTTCATTAAGGTCACTAGAAAGCTATCTCTAACTCGACCTTCTTATCGCCAAGCTTCAATGCTCTTGTTAAAGGGATACCATTATTTTTTAAAATATTTTTTAAGATTGATTGATTGATTGTATGTTGTTTAACGTCCCTCTCGAGAATTTTTCACTCAAATGGAGACGCCACCACTTGCAATTGCCGGTGGAGGGCTACAAATTTTGTCCTATGCTCGCCACTCAGGGCCTTTGAGCAGTGAGGGATCTTTTTCGTGCCAACACCTTCTGCGACACGGGGCCTCGGTTTATACAGTCTCATCCGAAGGACCGGCCTCCACGTCCAACAGTGGGATTCGAACCCGCAACGTAAGGATTGACTCCTTTTTTCGCGACTCTAGAGCAGACGCTCTAACCACTGCGCCACGCGGGCGACTTATTTTTTAAGATGTTGGATTCACTATTTGGTCCCAGTGGTTTTTGACAAGATCCTTTCATGACTCCATCCTTTTTGTTTTTTCATCGATTTTAAGGGGTTTGGTCCTTCATGTTAATAATTAAAACTCCCTTTTCCCCAAAGCTGCCTTATACCAATTTTACAAAAAATCGACTTAGTGGTTCTTGAGAAAAGGTGAATATATGAGATGTTTACAGACGGACGGACGACAAACAACAAGTGATCAGAAAAACGCACTTGAGCTTTCAGTTCAAGTGAGCTACGATAGGAAAACTCTCCAATATACTGAAAAAAATACATGCATAATGAAATGATTTCCCGTTCTAACATAATCAGGCATATGCATCTATTTTCAAAAAAATTTGACCCTAAAAGAAACAGTTTGCTCTAAATAGCTTGGGATCGAATACTTTTCAAGAGTTTAAAAATGGGGAAATATTTAAAAATATAAACATTTGCCTATAACCATCATAAATGAGATGAATGTATAGAGCCTGTTATTTTTTCTGTAGGCATGCGATATGTAATGTAACGTAATCTCTGACTTAATTTTAGGCTCGTCTGACTGCTGGGATGCAGGTTCAAAGATTGTCGCCTATTCGTCAGTTAGCAGGGAGGACTATTCAAAACAGCGTAAATGTTTTTTGGATGGATTAATATTAATTATGCTGTACAAGTGGTCACAAAATTATCATAGTATACTTAAATAAACATTAAAACAAACAAAGACAATCGAAGCAATCTGTAAAATTCTGACTTTTCTGCGGATTGATTGGAAATTGTGTTTCATCGGAATTATGATTTAAAATTAATCTTCATGAATGTTATTCTATGAACTATTTTGAGGAGAATCATCATGGATCTCTAAACATAAAGGTCGAATCACGTGCCATGGAGAATAAACATCCTCTATTGACCGGTTACATTTTATCATGATCAGTTAAACCCCAATTATGAAATATATTTTATCAAACCAAATATGAATTTTGACACCTGTATATAAATAATTATCCTTTTATGGAAAAAACCACTTGGAAAATACACAAACTTTACCTTACCTTTTTCTATGAATTTAAAACGTAGCTAAAGTTTGAAGGCGATTTTCTAATTCACATTGAGGAATGCGGGTAGTTTTATCCCTTCAATTCATTGTGTTCTTAAAGCCTAAAATCAAAATCAATGCTGGTTTGAATAAGAAATCATTAATAAATAACAAACTATACTTATTCAAATTGTGTTATGATTTATAAACAGAAAAAAATGATGAACTAAACGTATTTAATGATAAATCCTGTCCTTTTCATTTTTCCTCCAGAAAATGAAGATCACCACACGATGCCTTCAAGCGATTCCTCAGATATACAGGTCGATGTATTAGATGGTGTGTATATAAACATTTTGTGTGAAGCATGTCTTTTCAATCGTGTTTATTCAATTTTTCAATGATTTTTTTTTTATTTTTGGTTTATTAATTGACTAAATGTGTAACAGTAGAGAAAATATAAGTATTCTATGAATTTGTAGGGAATTATTTTGTCGAATCCCTATATACAATAATTATTGTAATAATTATACACTTTTTCACTCGAAAATCAAATGTTAGGGAGTAGAACATGTGGGGATAATTCATATATTTTTCCTATTTTTTTTTCACTTCATGTGTCATTAAAATATCTCCTGATAAGTCAGAAACTGAAATGTCTGGAGATATTGAACAGTATTGAAAGTCCTTAAAATAATACAAAATAGGACCAGAGAAAACGTGGACCTTTGAAACATCAAAGGTGGATTAAAGTGGCATGAAAAAGTCTTCAAAAAGCACTTCTTCAGAAACAAAACGTTATATTTACAATTTTACATTCAGTGTAGTATTTTTTTTTAAATTTATTAGAAATCCACGACGTTCAAATCTCTATGAAATACATCTGTGAAACCTTGTCACCGCGCATGAGAATACACAGTAGGAACTGTATATGCATTTTCAATACTTTAGGAACTCCAAAATGTACTTTAATTTTTATTTTTAAAAATGTAACCCTGTTAAATTATCGTAAAAATACAACAAATGTGCGTTAAAAATTAATTTGTCACATTTTCCCTATCAATTTTTGTTTGCGTTATTAATCTTTGCAACGTCACAAACGTCAAACACGGATCTTACGTCTATAAAGCACACCAGTTTTGAAGAACGCTAAATTCACGTCAATGATTACCAAAATAAACAATTATGAAGAGGAAAAATTAGAAAATGTAAATATAAGCATTGAATTCCTATTTTGGGATGTCTTCGGTCCTGTAACACACCTGGCCATGCAGAATAATTATCATACAGCGCTAACAATCGGTATTCAATTTGTCCGCACAGTCAGGTGTGTTAAAGGACAGACGAAATCCCCAAATATGAATTCATTGCTTAAATAATGACTTTTAATTCAGTGTTATTTTAGCTTTAAGGTCAGATGACACGTTCCTCAAAATAAATCATTTTCCCCAAGAAATTATCATTGAAGAATAGGTAATTATGTAACGTATTTACAATGAATCACTGGGGATCGTACCTGGTCATTTCCAGGGTTTGGGGGTTCAACATTAAATGATTGAAAATAATTGGTATGATCTTAGTGGACTGCCGAAATATACAAATATGTCCTAACCTTATCTAGGTAAATTAAAATCAACAAATGAATCACTAAAATAATCGGAGGCAAACAAAAAATCAAATAGGGAGTCCTGATCTAACATTTATATAGGATGTCCAGTCGCCCTCGGACTACCGCATATACTGTAGGATGCCTTATTCAGGACGGACAGTATATGTGATAGCCCTTCAACCACCACACCCATTGTTAGATGCCTTATTCAGGACGGACAATGAGTATAGCAGCCTGGACGGACTGGTCAGCCAATGCAGACGAGACGCAACAAACTATGGCTAGCCTCTATGTTGGAGGTCTACCAAGTTTGTGGCAGGCCTTAACTGGGATGGCCTTCCAAATCCACTCTCTAACTGTAAAACAGGCGAGGGATATAACACGCGAATTCTTATTTCACGCCACTCGTCTTCTAACCTTGGCTGCATCAGACAAACTCCCCTGATCGCTGCAGAGTCTCGGTATTTATACACAATTAAAGTCACGTGACATGAACAGAGACTAATTGAAAACTCCGCATGGTCAAACTGAAAATCCCGAAATCATTACAATTAGACAAGATTCCTCACGAAAAATCTTACCAGGCCTTTTGATTCATAATTCTTTTATAACCCTTTTAGGCAATCTTCTGAATATCACCAATATCGCCAATATCACCAATTTTGGTTACTTATATTTAAAAACACTTTAAAACAATGTAGAAATCAGAAGAGAATGACAAATATGAATAATTTTTTATATATAATACCACGAGATACAAAACATATATTTGGGGAACGTGTGGTCTGACCTTTAAAATGATCATTTCGTCATTTTCCCCTGATAAGTGTTATTCTGCCTTTTCCCTGTCTTTATCATAGGCACTTGGGGTATGGACCCCCCCCCCTTTTCCATTTTTTTTCTTTTTAAATCTGGGTTCGAGTCACCTTTTTCTATTTTTCTGTTCTAATATGCACTATATGTTATCAAAAATGTAACTCTTTTGTCTCCACAAGCTGTTTTTAAATATGTCGTTTTTCGACTGATACTTACTCTCTTTATATGTATCAGAATATGTATCAGAATTCAATAAATTGTATGAGAAATATAAATTAACAGAAAATATTATAGTGTCAAAGCAGTATATTCACAATTTTTGTTTTTATGACGTCACAAACTAGTCCGATTTTATATCCTTTTTCAGAAAGAGGACAAAATGGACAAAATTTAAACAATTTTAGCTTTAAAATTAAATGAGCGCAAGTTTGTTCAGGAACAATATTGACATATTTCATTGATACTATCATTCTACACATTATATCAAAATATTGATCCTGAACACACATGCGCTCGGTGACTTTTACTCAAAATATCGACGAAATATGTACATTTTTCTGTAAAATTCATAAAAAAACTGAAATTTACGTCATGTTTGTGACGTCATTACGTACATATGGTGTCATTACTTATGAAAATATTCAGTGCTTTGAAGTCAGCATATACTCCCCTGTTTAAGAACTTAATTAAATATATCTCCATCAAAGTTTGATTTGGGGGGCAAATATTGGTTATTACCGAATAAAGTTCTTTTTTCGCAATAATTTGATACTAAGGGCCTACGATTTCAACTGAATCTGTTCCCTGTGGGGTCTGAAACTACTTTCAGTATTGGGAAAAAAGACTGCAGCTTGTCTTTATATCAATACAAAATACTGTAAACCAAATTTTATTCGCAACGACTTTATTTTGCGATTTACCGGAAGGAAAGGAGTTCACGACGATTAACTTTCGCGATCAAGCCTTTTTGCAACTGTTTTTAGTAGAAAAAGAGACTATAAGGACCGTTCGCGGCGAGAAATATTTGCGATGACGAAGATCTCGTGAACCTCGCGAAAATTCGCGAATAAAAGTTGGTTTACAGTATATAATACATTGTATCATGATTTCAGATGATTATGAAAATTGTCGAATGCTGATTGCTGGTCTTAGAGGTGTAGGCAAAAGCGCCCTAACCAACTCTATTGCCGGAAGTGACGTTCAAGTATCTAAAGGCTCACTGGGATCTGTTACACAAAAAGCCTCTCAAATAAAATGTAAAAGAAAGGAAAGATATCTAGTATGTTTTGACACACCTGGTTTGTCTACGATTAATGACACAAAACTAGTGCAGGAACAATACGAGAAATGTTTGATCAAAGCCGCTCCTGGATTTCACGCCATATTAGTCGTGCAAAAAGCTATAAGCTTCTCAGATGACAACGAAAACTTCCTAAACAAGATCACAAAGATGTTTGGGGAAGACCTATGGAAATTCGTTGTGTTTGTTTTTACTCATATTGATCAAATAGAGGAAAGTTTGGAGAAAACAATAGGAAAGGGAGACAAGCGCTTGCACTACTGGCTTCACAAATGTGAACACCGGTACGTGGGAATTAATAACAAGGCAAAGGGGGAAGAAAATGAGAAGCAAATTTCAAAACTGCTCGATGTTGTGGAGAAGATGAAACAGGTGAATTGTTGCAAGATATACACCAATGAAGACTTTAAGAAAACCTATACTATGTTAAAGGTTGCTGCACGTGACCTAAAGGTGTCCGTTCAAAATATCCGTGACAATCCAGGAAAAATATTAGGATTTACATTAGAAGTATTAAAATATTTTAATAACCCTTGAGGCTGAAAATAGAGGGAAATAGAGAGAAGAAAGAGGAGGATAGAGCGAAAGAGAGAAGGAAAGGAGAAAGCAAAAGGGTGAGAGAGGGGGAGACAAGAAGAGAAGGAAATGCAGAGAGAGGGGGGGTGGGGACAGACAAACAGACAGAGAAGACAAGGGACAGACAGAAAGTGTGATTTTAATAATGTTCTCCAAAGAACCATATGTTCATATACATATGATTTTCTTTTTGGTTGTAGTTGTTTACTGTATCAAATATGAACATTTATCAGCTCTCAGTAAGTTTTCCGGATTCACTAAACATTATTATTTACATTTATGTTATTACAATTTGTTCTATCTTACATTTCGCATTACATGTTATCAATAATGTAGAGCCTTATTCCAGTATTTGGAACAGTAAAAAGGAATTTTTATTTCCGTTGATACTCATTACTCTGTCACTGTTTATTTTGTTCATTTTTTAGTTGAAACATTCTTATCATCTGGTGCCAGACTTGGCTAAAGACATTTCTCTAAATCTTACATATATTCATACATTCTCAATTTATTCAAAACAAATTCTATACCAAAGTCCAAAATTTATTTTGACTTATTAGAGGTTTTAAGAGTTTACTATCAACAGTACGATACACAAAACTCAAATGGTTAAAGATTAAGATTTTTCAAAATAAGACTTTTTCATTGGTCGATTGAAAACATTTATTTACACTAAATAAAGGTATTTTCAGAAAGACAGCACAAATATGACAAATGAATACCTTAGCATATGACTTAAACACCAAGGTCAAGGTCATATTGTCACAATTGTTTGTTACCAAGATAAGGACTTCTCCAAAGAAATACCCATGAAATTTGAAGTCCTAGCACAAACTGATCAAAAGTTATTGCCAAGATTATTTTTTTTCAAAAGCAGGTAAAATTCCAAGGTTGAACACAAAGAGTTCTTTTTTAACATAAGGTTTTGAATATCTTTCGGATTTATTTTCATATTGGTGTGCAGACATTTTCATTTTTTTTTATCAAGAACCTACAGATGATTCATTAGAAGTTTTCGATAGTTTTTGTCTTGTTTGTTTGATTGTTGTTTAATGAAATGAGACGACACCTCTTGCCAGTGGAGAGCTGTATTTTGTTTTATCAAATACTTGACACTCAAGACCACACAGAAGGAGGGATCTTTTTCCTGTGGGCACCTACTGCGACACGGGACCTTGGTCTATACGGTCTCATCCTAAGAGTCTCCTTGTCCCACAGTGGAACTAGAATTCTTGACGTAATGTTCAACTCCTAACTTCATGATTCTAGATCAGACGCGCTTACCACTGCGTCACGCGGACGACTCTTCAGTTTTATAAGTGATAGTTTTTTCTTATTTATAAGTAAAACAATAAATTTTTCACATTTGGAATTTTCAATGTGATTAGATTGGCTCAAATTACATATTAAAATAATCACATAGAGAAATATTCAAACATCGGCTAAATATGGTATCTGTAATACATGTGAATTGTGAAGCAACTTTCTATTTATGTCCACGTAAACGAGGTTTCGGGAGGTGTAGATTTTTGTCGTGTCCTTCCGTCTGTCTAGCGGTTTAGTTGCCTCTCAGTCTGTCTGTTTGTCCGCAAAAACTTTACCGTGGCCATAACTTTTGATTAAGTGGAGCTATGACTTTCATATTTCACAGTCATGTGTTTTCCTTGTGACCAGGCCTTGAAGGGCTAGAGCTTTCATACTTCACATATGTAATCCTTGTAATTAGACCTTTCATTGGATATCGACAGCTGTGACCCTTTGATCTTAACCTTAGAGTTTGACCTACTTTTTACAAACTTTATCCTTGGCCATAACTTTTGAACGATGAGAGCGAGGGCTTTCATACTTCTCATGTGTAATCTTAAAGACAAGGCCTTTCTTTAGAAACCAACAACTTTGACCCTTTGATCTTGACCCCGGAATTTGTTTTACCATTAAAAATGTTAACCATCGTCATGACCTTTAAACACGTGGTGCTAGGGTTTTATATTTCACATTTGCAGTTCCTGTGGAAAAGCCTTACTTTATGTACCAACATATTTGATCTGCATATAATTTAATTTTGTTTGTATTCTTGCCTCTCATTGGTTGATTTCCAAAAAGGAACGCATAACATTTTGTATAATCTGGTTTGGTATGGGGACACACCCCCTTGACAACCAGCTGAATCATCTGTATCCATCAATCCCCTCATTTCCAGTCCTTGGGATTCATGGAAAATTCTTGATTTAATGAATGTACCTTTAACTTCAAACCGTAGCTCGATCTTACCTCGTATAAACAAGCATCATGGCTGCTAGATCTATGTATCAGTTTTTACCTCCCCTCGCTTCCCATCACTTCCGTTACTACGGTTGTATTATTGCGCGGTAAATTTGAACTCATATAAACAACACAACTTTACACCCCCAGTAGTTTAATTATTTTAAAATTAAATTATAAGGAATGACTCTAATTCTTGGCCAAATTATCGAGTATAATATGGTTTGGGTCAGTTTACGCTTTTTTATAATCCGCTTCGCGGGTTATAAAGCGTAAACTGACCCAAACCATATTATACTCGATAATTTGGCCAAGAATTAGAGTCATTACTTAATTAAAATAAAGCTTAACCTTCTCTATGTTGACATACGGGGGCATCAGTGTTTCACAAACACATCTTATTTAAGTTATGAATCTGGCCCTGCCTATTTCCCTTCACGACATTATCATAAACAATTAATGTCTATTTCAAGAAAGTACCTATAATGACTTTATTTCCAATTTCAGTTTTAGTAATATAAACTTATTTTGACTGAGATATATAAACTTCGAAAAATATGAGAAGTGTTTCTTGTTACTGGCTAAATTTGAATCGTTTTTCTGCACGATCAAAATATCTTTAGATTTGAAATGCTCTTTGTAATATATGGAGAAATGGAACAGTGTCCAAGCTTATATGTCTAAAAAACAATACAAAGGAGGGGAGCAAACAAGAATAAGAACCTCGAGAACATAGAGGTGGTACCAGGTGTCATGGAGGAGTGAGCTTCCCCTGCTGACCGGTCACATCCGCCATGTGCTACTTGTCATGATCGGAAAATAGCTGAAAAATCCATCAATTTAATGTATAAATAATGGACGAACAAATAGTATGAAAAATGTCAGTCAGCATTTGACTCAATGATAAATTGTATTTGCTGGCAAGGTCATTGTATCGACCATATATCTTACGAAATGATGACTTTAAACGAACCTGCTGATATTCTTGTTTGAAATTCATCAACCTGTTTGTCAATATTAATTTACCTCGTTTTAGAAATTATTCATAAGTAGAGCATGCTCTTGCGTATCGAATCAACTGAGATATATAAAGTTAATATGCAAGTGATAAAGTAATATTGCAGCATAGGTAAGACAAGTTGGCGATAGAAAAGTTACAGTCATTATGTTTATCATAGAGCTTTTAAAGTAAAATATCCAAGTATGAAACATATTATCAAACTCTGTGGTATCTTTTATCTCACCAGGATACATCGTATCGACATGAAAATTACCGTTGTTAATTGACAATACGTCAAACAAATTATTTCTTCTCAATAAATAATTAAATATCTCGCATGAATAGATGAGGCACATTTGATACACTTTACGAGGTCCGTTCAAAAATTACGCGGGCTTGTTGCACAGAACAAATATTTGACGACATAATCGGGCAAAATGTCAAACATAATTTTAAAAAATCTTTATTTACATGGTCTTCAAGATTTCATATCAAAATATTGTAAATTGGTATCAATTTTGAATGATTTTTCAGGACATATCATTAAGTTATGGAGCAGCAAAATCTTCGACGTCACAGGCATTGTAAAAAAAATGTGATTGAGCTTTCATTCTCTCAACATTTTCCCAAGAGTACCTGTACAGTTTGAGTTACCTTATCTACTCAATATCCAAACACCATTTCTTGTCAAGCTTAAAATATATTAAACAAATAAAGAATATTTTTTTTTGTTTTAAAACCAAAAGCTGCAGATATTTATGAGATAAAGCGTGACATTGGTCACTCTCAAGTCTCAATCACGTTCTTTACAGTCCGGATAAAGTTTTCGTCGATCAACTTCTTCCCGTCGTCCCATATAGCCTTTTTACAGAGGTCTAACGGTCTAAAATTTCAATTTGTTATTTCTGGACGGGTGTCACGAATACCCTAGTTTACTACATATTTTATTATGCATATCTTAGATGTATGTTGGCGATATTACACATAATTTAACGAAAGTGTGATGCGCCGTCAATTCAGGAGACGTTATTTTCACAGTCGTTTTTAGAGGAATCGCATCAGAGAAAAATAACTATATTTCTGTTAGTATTTCAAATATCACGTCAGAAATTTAAATACATAATAATAGAACAATTCAAAGATACATTTGAATAAATTATCGAAAAATATCGCGAATTATAGAAAACTAATGAGTCAAATTTTGGATTTCGCATGATTTTGCTTCAATTTTTTGTCGTGCTCCGTACCTCTCCATCAGCGATATCAGTATACGGATAGTTTTAGTGGAATTTTTCTAAAATACAGAAATTTTCCCCAAAATTAGTTGGAATCTTTAAGATACATATTACTGTGAAATTTCATAACTAATAATATGACGTCTGTAAAAGTAAATAATAGCACAGTCCGCGTAATTTTTGAACGGCCCTCGTATAACTTTATCTTTTGGATATGACTCATTGGATATATATGAATATTTTTTTTATTTCCATCACTATGATTAGTAAAGTGCAGTTCTGATGTCACAATGGTTTTGCGTTAGCTTGATGAAGTAAAAAAAAAGTCCTACATATAAACAGTGTACAACATTGGTTGTGAAGTATTAAACATGGAATAAAAAGAATATCCCATCATTTGAAGTTGGATATTTCATTCAATTCGCCAAGGCTCGGGGATAAAGAAAACACAAACAACACATTAGATAAAAATATCAAAATACAAATCATGAGAGATCCTAAAAAATATCTCAAATAGGTTTTAACATTTATATTTTAATAAAAATATATCATTCACAAAAAATAACATATTACATGTAATCAACAGCAATAGATCTCTGGATATAAATCTTTGTTCACTGTGCCTTGAACATGTTGAATGCATATCTTGGTTAGTTGATCTATATATAAAGGGAATTCTGGGATTTTGATATTCCAGGTTACATTTCATCGTGTATTAAGCACCAGTTTTTTGGTCAGCTGATCTATACACACTGGGACCTCTGGAGGTTCGATATTCCAGGATGTATCTTCTTCGTCAGATTTGTAATGCTCCTTCTTAATGAAGTACTCTAGCTTACTATTGACACTGAGGAGGAGATCGGTCAGTTCGAACTCCTGTTTGGTGTCAGTAAGAGCTTTGACCTCGTTGTAGAGGGCGTACACAAACTGACAGGCGGGATGATGGTCAGTAGAAGCTTTTAGCTCAGTAGTTTCTCCATGGTCAATGTGCTCTCCTAGTCCTTCCTTCGTTTCTTTTTTCATTTTATCAGTATATCCTCCTGCAAAAAGAAATTACAATTATATATTTCTTTTAATTACAGAACAATATTGACATCGGCTGTTTTTCTACAAAGCAAACAGTGAAACTGATTTAAGGAATCACTGTCTAGTTAGGTGAGTATGCCAGGGCATCAACAATAGTGGGAAACATGGGATGATTTTCATAACAGGGGAAGCCCGTTATGCTAACATTATCCCATGTTTCCCACTATTGTTGATGTCCCAGGCATATTCTTCTTACTAAACAGTGCTTCCTTATTAGTCAGTCCGCGGGCTGACTAATTATGATACGAAGAACTTCAAATGCGCTTTCGCGTTTTGGAATTATGGGAGGTAGTTCTGCAGCAAATCACTCTAGCTAATTTCATTTCAGTAAAATCAGTATAATCCCTATTTAACACCACGGTAATCTGTAAATTTAAATTCAACTTAAATAAGAAAGTAGTTTATCCTTATTTATTCTAGAAGCTTTGTACAATCCTACTTCAAAGTCTCAACAGTTTTCAAAAACCTGATTCTCAGTAAAAAAAACTGGTTCGCATCTGATCGTGAAATGTGTTCTACGCAGTTAAGCATACAGTTGTAGGAATTCATATCGCACATTATTAGACGCGTTAATCATGTTAATTGAAGGTCTTTTGTAAAGTATGTTGAAGATATTTTATTTATGTATTTAAATCTACGACATAAAACATTGGTTTAATAGAGATTTTGAAGTTATTTAGTTTTTATCAGTTTTACTTTCGTTTTCATTACACCGGTCACGGTAGCCTAGTGGTAGAGCGTTCGCTTCGTGATCGGGAGGCCCGGGTTCGATTCTCGATCGCGGCGCCGCGTCATACCTAAGACGTAAACATAGGTAGTGACTGTTCCTTCGCCAAGCGCTCGGCACTAGAAGTGAAAGTCACGGGTCTTTCGGATATGACCTTAAAAACGTAGGTCCCGTGTCACGGTAGGCGTTGGCACGATAAAGAACCCTCACTGCTCAATGACCCTGAGTGCCGAGTATAGGTCTAAATTTGAAGCCCATCACCGGCATCGGTGACGTCTCCATATGAGTGAAAAATTCTCAAGAGGGACGTTAAACAATATACAATCAATCAATCAATCGTTTTCATTACATCATTTCGATCCCGATGCAATTTAGCGAACTAACTTGTTTAAAAAGCATACAACGGATACTTCTAGAAGAGACACAACTGGCTGAGCTTGCTCGTTTGTAATGTATCCCGCTGGAAGTAGAGGATATTATTGTCCCCCGCTTGAAAAGTGGGGGATATTGATTTGGGTTTGTCCGTCCCTTTGTCCGTCTGTCCGTCTTTCTGTCTGTCTGTAACGCTTTCGTTTCCACACGATATCCCGAGAATCCTTTGAGCTTTTGCAATGAAATTTAGCATAGCAACTCCCGATGGACTAACGAAGACCCCTATTGATTTTGAGGTCAAAAGTTCAAAGGTCAAGGTCATAAATAAGCAAATTCTGTCTGTTATAACACTTTCGTTTCCACACGATATCTCAAGAACCATTTGAGCTATTGCAATGAAATTTTACATAACAACTCCCTGTAGCCTAATGAAGACCCCTATTGATTTTGAGGTCAAAAGGTCAAAGTTCAAGGTCGTAAATTTATATATTCTGTCTGTGTGTAACAATATCATTTCTGGACGATATTTTAAGAAGATTTTGAGCTTATGCAATGTAATTCTATTTCAAAACTCCCTAGGACCTCTCTAACCCCTCTCAAAGTGCCCGCCCCGTTTGTTTTATCAGTATTTATAGTATTACATGTCGCTATTTTTAGCACAGGGGCATGAGGAGAGTTAATGCGTATAAAACAGGTTCTCGGCGGACGTTATGTTCGTATTACATCTATTAGAACTGTTTAATGAAGGCTAAATAAAACAAACACCGTAGATTGTGTAAAATTTTGACAATACCGAACATGAATATATATATATATGAATGTGACTTCATGTTTGCATTTAATTTGCCGTTATGAAGAGCGGCCCCGTGGTCTAGTGGTATGTCTCTCGCTTCACATGTGAGAGGACCCGGGTTCGAATCCCAGGCGATTCATTATCATTTTTTCCCCAAAAATACTTTGTTAAATTAAATAATAGTATTCAGCATGTGAAATGAAAAATTTATGAGGTGTGGCTTGTACAAACTCATAAGATCATCATTACAGTGTGTTAAATATTCCATATAAAAAGAATCTTCTATACACATAATAAAGAATGAGCAATAAAATCTGTATATATATCCATATTGCCATATTTTGTTTGCTTTGAACAGTATACATGTATACATTTAATAATCCTACAAATTATGTCAGGGGGATCCGACTCCCCCCTCCCCCGAACTCTGCATTGTTTACTTTTCCCCTAAGCGGGGGACACAAATTCTCTGAATTAGCTTGTTTTATTTCGGTCTGCCTGTCCTTCCGTGCCCCTGTCTGTAGTTCTGTCTGTAACACTTTTAATTCCGTGAAATATTTGAGAAGCCCTTAAACTTTTGTAGTGAAATTTTACACATTCAACTCACTATGGAAAACCCCTCTTGATTTTGAGGTAAAATGTCAATGATCAAGGTAATGGGATCAAACTTATGTCTGCTTGAACACCTTTGTGTCCGTGCAATATCTCGATTAGCTGCAGATCTGTAGCGTTAAGGTTTTATAAATTTGTCTTTGACCATAACGCTACAGTTCCTGTAATGCAAAAAAGGTGCCATTTACGGCGCAATAATTTTTGCGCGCTTTTGGGGAGAATTTCTCCACTTTCAAGCATTGGTCAATCAATTACCTTTTACTCCCTAATTCAAGACACATTCTGTGGCCAATATGTATATTTTATACACCTCCCAACCCTTTATATTCGTCTCTACAAGTGATAAACTCGCTTGATTAAAAGTATTTGTTAGATTGCTGAAAATTCACTTCTTGCGACTTTTTGCCTGTAGAGACAACTACAAATGGTTGAAAGGTGGATAAAATATACATATTGGCTACAGAATGTGTCTAAAATTAGGGAGTGGAAGGTAGTTGATTGACCAATGCTTGAAAGTGGAGAAATTCTCCCCAAAAGCGCGCAATAAATATTGCGTCGTAAATTGCACTTTTTTTGCATTACAGGATCTGTAGCGTTATGGTTAAAGACAAATATATAAAACCTTAACGCTACAGATCTGCAGCAATATCTCGATAAGTCCTTGAGCCTTAGAAATGAAATTTTTTACCACAACAACCTATGCTGAAAGGAAGACACCTATAGATTTATTTTGACGTTCAAAGGTCAAGGTAATAAATTCACGCCTCTGTGTGAGTGTGTGTCAAACTTTCATTTCCAGTCAATATAAAAAAAAACATTTTTGCGTTTTACAATCAAATTTTTTTTACCATAACTCGATCCACCATATGACCCCATGACCCCACCCCTTTTTTTTCTATTTTAGATCTGCGCATGTTTTTTTTTTTTTTTTGTAAGTGGGAGGCGCAGATTCTCTGAATTAGCTTGTTTAGTGAATGAGACCATTTACGTTGTTGCAATCGGATTTAGGGATTTTAAGTTTTCTTACGTTATAGAGGTTTGATAAATTTTGTTTACCATGCAGTCATTGTGTTGTTTATTTTGTTTCAATTCTACTTCTTTTAAGTTTCAAGTTTTAATTCAGCTAGCTGGGTCAAATTAAAGTAGGATAGTTAACAAACTTAAATACCTATGTCTTAAATTATGCAAAGATTAGGCTAAACAAAGCTTACAAGTTACCTGTTTGAATGAAATTTTTCTAATCTAAAAGTACTAGAAAATGCACGTACTGGTTACATGTATTTAAATAGTCTTTTATTGATATTCTCAATTAAGGGTTCAGTATGGCTGTTACTTTATCGCAGGGGCAAGGGTGTCTTTGCTGTCTAAACACAGTAGCACTGAGTGATTCAACCTGCAACATGACAAATCCAACAGGGTGATAGTGAAGCTTACGAGGTTCCGTTTGGTGGCTGCGGGATTGTTAAAACAGCCATGTCCCCCATCCTCATAAATTAAACTCCTTCTGATCCGATGAGATTGTTTTATAATTTCATGGAATCATGTTTTGAGAAACTGAACTTAAATTTTATTACATTATATCTGAAGATGCTTGAGTTTCTGATTGACAATATCTATGTGGTTTTTGGAGACCAGGTATTCCAACAATCTATTGGAATTCCCATGGGTACAAATTGCGCTCCGTTATTAGCAGACTTATTTTTATATTCATATGAAGCAGAATTTATGCAAAATCTTTTGCGTGAAAAGAAGAAAACACTTGCTGTGGCCTTCAACTCGAATTTAGATATATCGACGACGTATTGTCAATTAATAATGATAATTTCCATTCCTACGTCGACACGATTTATCCTGGTGAGCTTGAGATAAAAGATACCACAGAGTCCGACACTTCTGCTTCATACTTGGATATTTTACTTGAAAAAGACACTAATGGTAATCTAACAACCAAGCTATATGATAAACGTGATGACTTTAACTTTTCTATCGTCAACTTCCCTTACTTATGCAGCAATATACCTTCATCACCTGCATACGGAGTATTTATATCTCAGTTGATTCGATACGCAAGAGCATGCTCTACGTATGAACAATTTCTTAAACGAGGTAAATTATTGACAAGCACGTTGATGAAACAAGAATATCAACAGTCTCGTTTAAAGTCATCATTTCGTAAATTCTATGGTCGATACAATGACCTTGTCAGCAAATACAATTTATCATTGAATAAAATGCTGACTGACGTTTTTCATACCAATTGTTAGTCCATTATTTATACACTGTACTGACCACGGATTTTTTCCGTTATTTCCTGATTATGACAACGAGCACACGGCGGGTGTGACCGGTCGGCAGGGGATGCTCACTCCTCCATGGCACCTGATCCCACCTCTGATGTTTCGGAGGTCCGTGTTTGCTCTGCTCTTATTTTGTATATTTGTTTAATGGAC